CTTTTTTGTGTATGTTTGACCAAAACTGCGGGAGGAGTAGTCGACCGAAAAAACGCGTAAGAAACGTAAGAATAACTAGAAAATTTCGAAAGAAATTTTGAGTGTGCCTGACTCTGGCCCCGTCGTCCCCATATATTATTGAGGAGGAAGTCATGTAAGTCAGTATCGGAAGATACTGGTACCTCTGCTTTCCTCCAGAAATATCCTCTCTTTTTAACATAGGAGTAAATGGGGCCATGGGTGGGTGCTGCTGGCGCATCAGCATGTTTCCCACCAAAACTATATGTCTGACAGCTTTAGCAGATGAATGTGAGTGAGACGACAAATTTACCTACGTTTCTATGGCAAGGCAAGGCAGCTTTATTTATATAGCGCATTTCATACACAATGGCAATTCAATGCGCTTTACATAAAACAAACATTTAACAGTAAGAATTGAAACTAGAAAATTCCCTCGGGGGAAATTTTGAAAGTGCCACGGGGGCTACTGCCCGAGTGTGTACATTATAATGTAGTAACATTATGATATTATATACAAGGAGCACACCTACAACAAACGTTCCTTTTTGAAGTATTTATTTATACAGCAACCTATGCCCTTTCAACCTCATATTATGTGGGAAACAAAGTTACAAAAATGATGAAAAGGGTTGCAGGCAGAGTAGAGTTAAGCGAGAGGGCAGTGATGATCTTCCATGTTGTCTGCAAATACACACACACACACACACACACACACACACACACACACACACACACACACACACACACACACACACACACACACACATCTACAGACACCAACATGAATCAAGTCAAGTAATCAAGATACAGTACAGTTTTATGGAGGACTAAAAGTGTCAAAAATAAATAAATACACCATTAAATAATTACTTGTGTGTGTGTAATGTGTCATTAATTAATTAAAATTGGAATTAAATACTTAAATGTGTCATTAATTCATTAATATACCGATTAATTTCTAAAGAAATTTTGAGTGTGCCTGGCTCTGGCCCCGTCGTCCCCATATATTATTGAGGAGGAAGTCATGTAAGTCATGCAAGAAAATAAAGCAGGTGTTGGTGTGTGTTTGTCTGTGTGTGCGTGTGTGTGTGCGTGTGTGTCTGGCTGTCTGTCTGTGTGTGTGTGTGTGTGTGTGTGTGTGTCTGTCTGTCTGTGTGTAAGAATTGAAATAAAAAAAATGAAATAAAATTATTATTATTATTTTTTAAATAAAACAATTAAATAAATTAAAATAAAATAAAATAAATAAATAAATTTAAAAAATGATTCACAGTAATACGGCGACATAGGGGGGTCCGGACTCAGAGTTACGGGGGCACTGGCCCCCGCTGGCCCCCCACTAGAACCGCCACTGATTGGAGCGGTGCCGAGAGCATTATCCATCGCGGAGCAAGCCATGGCAATGGGAAAGGAGTACCCACACAAGAAGGACTAAATGACAAAAGGTATATATGACTAATAAGACCCAATCAATTTGATAAATATAGCGTGTCCTCCCGTGTTTCAGGCGGGTCGATATGCAGCGGGGCTATTGAAAAAAAAACGCGTGTGTGTGCGGGTTTTAACACACCACTGTGGACCTGTAGCATATTTGCTGACTGGTGTAAAAGTGTATAAACCAATGGTCCATTTAAGATTCAAAACGTAGTGTGAATGTACCCTAAGCACGGCGACCAAGCTTTCATAAATACAGCGTGTCCTCCCGCGATTCAGCCGAGTCCATATACTGCGGGGCTATTGGAAAAAGAAAACGCGCGTGTGTGCGGCAGGTTTTAACACACCACTGTGGACCTGTAGCATATTTGCTGACTGGTGTAAAAGTGTATGAACAAATCATCCATTTGAGATTCAAAACCTAGTAGTGTGGCTGTAGCCTAAGCACAGCGACCAAGCTTTGATGAATATAGCGTGTCCTCCTGTGTTTCAGCCGGGTCGATATACAGCGGGGCTATTGGAAAAAAAAACAATAAAACGCCTACCCCCTGTAGGGTTTGCCTGACAACAGCCTGAGAATATTCGCGCAACTGACCAATAGGAGTCCTCTTGTATCAACTGTCAATAGACGACGCCATCAACCGTCACTAGATCACGCGCACACGTGCGCGAGATAGCCCCCCCAGGCTGAGGCAGAAAGAAACGTTGAGAAAAATAGCGATTTTCTGCCTCTGCACTGGTCTCACATTTGGGCTTATTCTGAGAAAATGGTTGCACCTATCAGAAAAAAACGAGACCATCATCACTCGAGTCAATCACAGTCAGCGAACGACTCGCGAATCAGCGTCGCGAATCAGCAGCGCGTCAGCGACTCAGCGAACGAGACGAACAACGACGAACGAGTCGAACGAGAGCAGCGAATGAGGTCAGTTCGTTCACTTTAAAGAGTCGTTCGTTCGAACTGATTCGTTCGCGAACGAGCCATCACTACTTGGGGCTTCGCCCCGAGCACTGGTCCCTTCAGCTTTAGCTGTAGGGGCCAGTGCTCGGTGCGATTGCCCCGTGGCACTAACTATAAACTATAAACTACAGTGACAATTTTATTTGTTTAAATAGGTCTATACTTCTTCAACAATTGAATCAGTTGTTTGGTTTGGTTATTTTAAAGAAGGTGTCATATTGTTTCTGGCACTGTTAGGAACTGGTACCTTTTCAAAGAATCAGTGTTGGCATGGCGTTTCTATAATTTTTTTTTTAAAAAGTAGCGATTTCGGTTGGAACCGGCATCGTTTTACAGGAATCAAAATGGAACCGGAATCAAAATATTTCAAACGATACCCAACCCTAGGCACCAATGTGAAGTCAAATTGACATCACACTATTTAATATTTGTATTTTATATATATATATTTTATAATGTCTGCATGTTCGCGCTCCCCTCTATTCTGTCTATTCGTTTTGGAAAAAATGTACATTTGCTCACTCCAGCCAACAATGTGGTTTTGGTTATTAAAACCATCTTGGGTGTGTGTGTGTGTGTGTGTATGTGTGTCCACCATATGTGGTTGTGTTGCTATACTTGTGCCATGAAGGTGCAGGGCTTCAGGATAATCATACATGATTTAGTTTGCATTGTGTTTCGGGTGATTTCAAGTGTGACCTCAAAATCTCCTGGTGTCACCTCATCATCTCGCTCGACAACATCAGCTCCAGTTAGTCCAGAGACACACACACACACATCTGATGGATGAGTCAAACAGATGTAGAAACATTACATCTCTGTCCCAATGGCAGAACCACAATGACTCACTATTAGAGAGAGAGAGAGAATTGGAAGAATAAGAAATAGACAGAACAAGCTGGAGGAGAACGTTGTGGTGCACTTATTGTGCCAGAACATTCACAATTTATTTTTATAGACTCGCCCTACGAGTTCACGTGATCATGCGAGCTCTGTGTTCGTCAATCGACTTATCAGCCTAAAAAAAAAACATGGCGTCGACGGGTGAACTACTGATAGTATTGTGTGTATAAAATATGCTTTTTAATAAACTATCTGTAAACTTACAAAGTTGTCAATGCCTTGTTTTATATGTTAAGACCCTCATTATACTACCAAAGAAGTGTCAGGCTATTTCTAGCCTTGTAACTGTGCGTTCACACCGAAAGCGCACAAAGAGGAATCCGCCTTGTCCACTCCACCTAAGTCGCTTTTGTCGCTTTTGTCCCCCTTCAGAATGTTCGTTCTTGCTTTTTTTTTAATTTAAAGGGCCAGCGCGCCACACGCGCTAAACACCACCATGCAACTACTGCTGTAGCACAGCCCATTTACCGACATCGTTGATCATGGAAAGTTACTTGATGGAAAGTTACTTGATAAAGTCATTAAAAACAGAATTACTCCGATTGGCTGGAGGGTGTAGGTTAAAAAGTGTTTATTTACACCATCTTTGATTTACACCTAGGAAAGACGTTGACGCTATGAAGACGCTATGGCCACGTTGCTTGGCAACGCCTGCATACGGGAGATATTAAATAGTCTGCTCGACTTCACGATTTCAACTCTAAAACACATTAAAGTATTATTAATTGATTACATATTTCATTCTTTCGTAAGTGACCATGGTACTTGCGGAAGCAACCCTCCGCTTTGCGTCGGACGGTTCATGCTTCGCGTCGTCCATTCATTTCTGTTAATGGACACCTCGTTGGGTTACTCCCCAATCATATTTACGGAAATGATCATCCCAAATAAACACCGATTTTGCCAAATGTAATGTTGTCAAATCATAGAGGACATCATAGAGGTGTTCTGCTACGGCAGCAATCAGCATTTCCAGCGACACCTTGGAACGAATGTTTGGTAGGAACTAAGTTACGCGGGTTGTTCTCTGGGACAGATCTGACCGAGGGACGACACACCCCCATTGGCTATCGATGGATTTTCCACCTTTCCCTCCTAGTCGGGTCATAGCTCATTTACATACAGTTGGAGGATTTTTAACTTTTTTATCCTCCTAAGTCGCCTAGTCCACCCGAGTCCGCCTATTCCTCTTTTCCCTCTTTGTCCGCCTGGCGCCCAATACACAATGAATGACTTCCGGGATCATTTTCCTCTTTGTGCGCTTTTGGTGTGAACGCACAGTAAGTGCTTTAAAAAAGCAATTTATTTTTTACCAGGTCAGATGCCCATAGCACTCAAACGTATAGCAGTTTGGTAGAATCGGCTAAAAACAGCGAACTTAGCTTTGCGTCGTATCGGCTTTTTGTTGCTCTCCATGGAACGTTGGAACTGGTTCTCATACTAAACATCCCAGAACCAGTTTACACCGGAGTTCTCCTTTAATCACCATGGTAACGTTGGAACTGGTTCTCATACTAAACATCCCAGAACCAGTTTACACCGGAGTTCTCCTTTAATCACCATGGTAATGTTGGAACTCGTACTCATACTGAACATCCCAGAACCAGTTTACACCGGAGTTCTCCTTTAATCACCATGGGATGAATAGTAAAAAAATTACTAGAAGCTCGAATAAGTAAAAAGTTCAACTGGTACAACACGGCATTAACACTGCCAGGGTTATGGGGTTCGATTCCTACAGGGGCCACCCATGCCAAGAATGTATAGACTCAGTATTGTGAGAAAGAAATCTATATTATTATTTAAAAATATATATATAACTTTGTAAGAATTTGGCGATAACATATTTATAACATGTTTCTTTTCCTCTTTCAGATTTGTCAACGGCCAAGAGGAAGTTTGCAGAGTCTTTGAACGAGTTTAAATTCCAGTGTATTGGGGACGCAGAGACAGACGACGAGATCTGCATCGGTGAGCTGACTTCTACCGAATCCGTCCCTAGACCACCAGAATAGTTGAATATGATGTTGCCATTTTTGTCTCTTCACCAATCGGCGCCACACATTAAATTCTTTAGTTGTCCTTTTTAGCTGGATAATTTAATTATTTAGTTAGTTCATGTTTAACATTACATTATGATCACAAATGTCAAAAGGTTGTCGCCTACTGGACACGCTTACTGGACAGTTCGCTAAAGTATTAAAAGTAAAAGCACTTGTCATATTAAACATAGCTTATAATACGGCATTAAGCCTCCCTACCTCGTTTCCTGCAATTAGTGCTTATGCATATCCTGACTAGAATTCATACAGTAAGGGCCGGGGCATTACAGTTAGATATGACTGGCATTCCCAGCCCTAATCATTTGAAGTGTGTGTGTGTGTGTGTGTGTGTGTGTGTGTGTGTGTGTGTGTGCGCGTTTGTGTGTTTGTGCGTGTGCATGCATACTTGTGTACTTGCGTGTGATGGTGGATGTGTCAGGCACTGGAAGTGGAAACTCTGACCTGAAACAATGCAGTCTTGCCTGGCTTGCCAAAGAGAGAGAGAGAGAGTGAGAGAAAGAGAAAGAGGGGAGCAACGGACATGAGAAACTAGCAGCAGCCTGCTAAGTTAGCTTGCGCAAATGACAAAACACTGCTTAATAAGCACGTAAACTGGTGTGATTTTCAGCCAACTGCTGCTTGCCGAGTCTGAACGGCAGTACGAGCAGCGTAAGACAAGATTGCCTTCTTGTTATTTTCAATGTCTCCCATTTATTTTCCCTCCTGCTCCCTCACTTTCTCCATCTTTCATTTCCATCTCCTCTACCGTTTCTATGCCGCCATTTCACTTTTGATCTGTCACTGCCACTTTCTCATAATATGCCACTCTCTTGATGTGTTGGTACCACTTTTGACATTCTCTCTCTTTCTCTCCCTCTCCTCTCTCTCCACATCCATCTGTCTCTCGGCCTGTCCGTAGCCAAGTCTCTGCAGGAATTTGCAGGAGTCTTGCAGAACCTGGAAGATGAGAGGACACGTATGGTGAGTACATCTGCTGTACTACAGTACATACACTGTTATACTGTACTACAGTACATACACTGATGTAATGTACAGTATTGGAATACATACACTATACTGTACTACAGTACACATACACTGTTATACTGTACTGTATTGCACTACATACATTATTTTACTGTACTACATACACTGTTATACTGTACTGTATTGCACTACATACATTATTTTACTGTACTACATACACTGTTATACTGTACTGTATTGTACTACATACACTATTATAATGTACTGTATTGTACTATATTATACTGCACTGTACTGTACTACATTACTGCATACACTGTTATACTATACTGTATTTTACTACATACACTATTGTATTGCACTGTACTGTACTACGTACACTAAAATACTGTACTACTGTATTGTACTATTATACTGTACTACAGTACTAAATACTAGGGCTGGGCAATATGGCCGAAATCTTCTATCCTGATATATATCACGGTATAGCATGTTTTCTGGTAATTCAATAAATAAATATTCTCTTTATAAAATAATGACATGGTATTGCCTATTTTAATTTAAATACTTTTTCATCACTTTACTGTAATGCAGTTAAAAACAGAAAAATCATATCACGATATGACGATATCCAAAATATAAGACGTTATCTAGTCTCATATCATGATATGAGATAAATTGCCCAGCCCTACTACATACACTATTATACTGTACTGTACTGTACTACATACACTATTATACTGCATAGTATTGTACTACATACAATATTATACTGTACTGTACTACATACAATATACTGTACCAGAAAAGGCGATTTTTTCTTTTCTTTTGTTTTTCTTCTGCTCCGGAGACGACTATATTCCTGTTGACGCGCCGCAGCGCGACGCTTCCTATGTGTGCTAGGGGCGGCACTTGTGTCATAGACGCGCCGCAGCGACAGTGTGTTTTGCACTTGATATTTATACAAAAATAGGCTATATATTATGATTTATTGGGAGAAAGAAACTATATGTAAAATCAGACATTCAGCACCGCCTATATCCCGAATGGAATGATCCTGTGTTTTGCCGACGATTCGACTATGAGATTGGCAGTCGAATCAGGCTCCTTCGATCGAATCGTCGAATAGTCGACTATTCGGGGTCACCCCTACACTGTGCTGTACTATACTGAACAGTAATACAACACATTGTGTTGCTCTAGATTGAGAATGCCAACGATGTGCTCATCATGCCTCTGGAACGATTCCGGAAGGAGCAGATCAGTGCTGCTAAGGTAACCGTGATGGCACACACACACACACACACACACACACACACACACACACACACACACACACACACACATGTCCACAGTGGAACCTGAAACGAATAACATGACATCAATAATAAGCGGTGATACAAGCAGTGTTCCACATCACAGACTATATTTTGATTGCTGATCGCTACAGTATTGGATGCGGTGTTGATACATAGGGCCTTCTTATCTAGCCGTCTATGGTGTGCTCTGTGACTGGGTGGCTGGATTAGGAAGTGAATATATATAATCTGTCTCCACAGCCCCCAGGTCAGTAGACCAACATGCTAATCCTCGTTTAGCTCTCGGCCCAACGGCCGCGAGGGCCAGAACAGGGTCGCCTCGGTGTTGGCCGGTGTTGGGATTTACACAGTTTTTGATGAATTCAATGAAAAATTACATCTAATTAGACGATTTTTTAACAGGCACTGCTCAGTTCTTACTCCATGTTGATAATACAAAGATTTCTTATGGATTACTGTTTTTCTGGGTGGGGGTGAAAGCCACATTGTGAATAAACATCAAATCTCCATGCTGTTAAAAATCTTTTTTCCTTAGTAGCTTTTCCTCGGGTTTCAGGGAAGTCACTGCGATGACTAAAATGCAATTGATGTCTTAAATAAACGGACAACTTTTCTGTATATCACCTTACCCGCCGTCAATATCCGGCCCTCTGATTATGCATGAAGTAATGCCTGACTGACACTGCCACCATGTGGCCAGGAATGGTAGCACAGTTATATTTTGTCCTTTTCTTGCCGTTGTCGTACATTCATATTTAAAAACACCATACAGACAAAAATGTGTGGATACATACAGGAAAACATGAAATGAAATAATAAAAAATAAGACAGAAGAGACAGTAAAGTAAAGAAAAGGAGAGCGGTGCAGAGCGGATTATCCCTAATGTGTTCTGCAGCTGTGGCGGCAGGTCCTGGTCTGAGGATTCTACTTCCTGTTGACGATGGCTGGGCCATAACCCATTGTCACATGACCAGGGACACTGAGGTGACTTTATGGGCTTCAGTTCAGACACAGGCCTTGTTCAAAACACACACACACACACACACACACACACACACACACACTCTCTCTCTCTCTCTCTCTCTCTCTCTCTCTCTCTCTCTCTCTCTCTCTCTCTCTCTCTCTCTCTCTCTCTCTCTCTCTCACACACACACACTCAATATTGAGGTTTATCTGACCAATAGTTCCCCATCTGGGTGATTCTAAAACGCTTAACAAACTGCTTAATGAGGCTTAATGTTCTAAACAACTAGTTCATCTTTAAACTTCATCTGTACAAACCACATTTTGTACAGATGAAGTTCGCTATGAGTATTAAAGGACAATTCCGGCGCAAAATAAGACCATATGATCATAACACATGTCCACCGAGTTGGACCGTTCTCTGGGATCAGTTTTCATTCTGGTCCAATGGAACCAAAGTTCTCGAAAACCCCTAATTAGCGTATAACGCTAGCTGTGGGGGCAGATATTCATGTAAAATAAATCGCAATTCTATACCACTAACAAGGCTCAAAATCGCACCACACTTCCACGGTAGCATAATGAGGGTCCCTACATGTAAAACGAAGCATTGAAAACTTTGTAAGTGTACAGACAGTTTATTAAAAAGAAAGTTTAGAAAGTCAGTGCCTTCACGAAAACAAGCGAGCACCATCTTTGGAAAACAGTCACGACCAGTCGAGCGACGAACGCCGTGCAACGTAATGAGCCGGAAGAGACGTACACATGAGATGTCAATGAATCAGAAGGTGTGCAATCTGGTAGAAGGTGTGCGAAGTGCGAACAGTGCGTGTGCATAGAGAAGAGAAGAAAATGGTTTGTGTTTGTGCTTTTCCCGGCTGCGTTTGTCGCTCGACTGGTCGTGACTGTTTTCCAAAGATGTTTTCGCTTGTTTTCGTGAAGGCACTGGCTTTCTAAACTTTCTTTTTAATAAACTATCTGTACACTTACAAAGTTCTCAATGCTTAGTTTTACATGTAGGGACCCTCATTATGCTACTGTGGAAGTGTGGTGCGATTTTCAGCCTTGTTAGTGGTATAGAATTGCGATTTATTTTACATAAATATCCTGCCCCCACAGCTAGCGTTATAAGATAATTTGCGGTTTTCGATAACTTTAGTTACATTCGACTAGAATGAAAACTGATCCCAGAGAACGGTCCAACTTGGTGGACATGTGTTATGATCATATGGTCTCATTTTGCGCCGGAATTGTCCTTTAACAATGTGCAAAAGCACAAGAAAATAATTTAAGGAGAAATGCATGTTATGCTCGTTAAGCTCTATTTTTCCTTTTTAACAAACTGCTCAAGCAGGCTTAATGTACAGCGCGGTTTGTTTCCTTTCTCTTTGAATAATTGTCTTGTGCTTTTGCACGTTGTTAGTACTCATGGTAA